GTTAGGGTCTCTGGGACTATACATTGACATTGCAAAGCCCCTGATATGACGCACTGAGCTTGCATCCCAAGGCTGTAGCATCCTCTCCAATAACGCATGACCCCGATCTAATCACAGAAGACTTCACAAAACCAGACCGTGCGCAGTCTACAGAACAACTGGCAGGATTTTTCAAAAGAAAAAAAAAAAAACTGAAAGTCATGAAAGGCCAAGAAAGACCGAGGAACTGTCACAGGTTGGAAGAGACCAAAGAGAAATGACAGCTAGACACAATGTGGAATTCGGGACTGAACGCTGGAAGAGAATGGGGATCCGTGGAAGAACTGGTGAGAGCCCAATCGCTTCTGTAGTTAACCGCGTTGTGCTCAGGTTGATTCTTAGATTTGACAATCGTTCTATAGTTACGTAAGATGTTAACATAAGGAGAAACTGGGTTAGCATAAGGGGGGAAACAGGAACTCTCTGTACTATTTTTGCAAATCTTCTGTAAGTCAAAATTATCTCAAAGTAGAAAGTTAAAATAAAAACACAAAAGAATGGCCATTTTCAAAATAATAAGAAAAACTCAATAGATGTCCTATCTACAAATAACAGCCAGTTAGGAAATATGACAAGTGAAAAATATTCATTAACAAACATCCGGAAAACATGCAGAATAGGAATACATTTTATATGAAATAGCAGGATATCATGAAAAAACCTGTAAATTCTGTTGATGCATTGAAAAAGGCTTGAATACATGAAAAGCTGTATTGTGCATTTGGATAGGAAGGCCTAAGACTGTAAGAGTCTCAATCCTTCTGAATTGCTTTGTTTTGTTTTTTTTTGAGACGGAGTTTCACTCTTGTTACCCAGGCTGGAGTGCAATGGCGCGATCTCGGCTCACCGCAACCTCCGCCTCCTGGGTTCAGGCAATTCTCCTGCCTCAGCCTCCTGAGTAGCTGGGATTACAGGCACGCACCATGCCCAGCTAATGTTTTGTATTTTTAGTAAAGACGGGGTTTCACCATGTTGACCAGGATGGTCCGGATCTCTCGACCTCGTGATCCGCCCGCCTCAGCCTCCCAAAGTGCTGGGATTACAGGCTTGAGCCACCGCGCCCGGCTTGTTTTGTTTTTTTGAGACAGAGTCTTGTCGTCCAGGCTGGAGTGCAGTGGCACAATCTCGGCTTACTGCAACCTCTGCCTCCCAGGTTCAAGTGATTCTCCTGCCTCAACCTCCCGAGCAGCTGGGATTACAGGCACCTGCCACCACACCCGGCTAATTTTTGTACTTTTAGTAAAGATGAGGTTTTGCCGGGCGCGGTGGCTCACGCCTGTAATCCCAGCACTTTGGGAGGCCGAGGCGGGTGGATCACGAGGTCAAGAGATCAAGACCATACTGGTCAACATGGTGAAACCCCGTCTCTACTAAAAATACAAAAATTAGCTGGGCATGGTGGTGCACGCCTGTAGTCCCAGCTACTAGGGAGGCTGAGGCAGGAGAATTGCTTGAACCCAGGAGGCGGAGGTTGCGGTGAGCCGAGATCGTGCCATTGCACTCCAGCCTGGGTAACAAGAGCGAAACTCCGTCTCAAAAAAAAAAAAAGATGAGGTTTCACCATGTTGTCCAGGCTGGTCTCGAATTCCCAACCCCAAGTGATCTGCCTGCCTTGGCCTCCCAATGTGCAGGGATTACAGGCATGAGGGACCGCACCTGGCCCCTTCCTAAGTTAACGTAAAAATTCAGTTTTTTTCGACCAGAATCCAATAAGGCCTTTTTCTGGGAAGGGAATTTGATAAAATGATTCTAAAATTTATCTGGAAGAATACAAATAGGAGACAGGCCAGAAAAATTCTAAGCAGCAGCACCATTTTAAAGTTAAAACACATTATGATATACAGCCATAATGATGTAGATGTCACAGACAGATCAAACGGCATGGAAACAGCCAGGTCAAACTGTCCATGGGATTTTGGTAAATGATAAAAAGTGGCTTTTTAGGCCAGGCATGGTGGCTCATGCCTATAATCCCAGTACTTTGGGAGGCCGAGGCAGGAGGAGCGCGTGAACTCAGAATCGAGAGCAGCCTGGACAACATGGTGAAACCCCCATCTCTACCAAAAAATACAAAAATTAGCCGGCTATGGTGGCATGCACCTGGGGTCCCAGCTATACAGGAGGCTGAGCTGGGAGGATCACTTGAACCTGGGAGGTGGAGGCAGCAGTGAGCCGAGATCCTGCCACGGGACTCCAGTCTGGACCGCAGAGCAAGACCCTGTCTTAAAAAAAGAAAAAAAAGAAAAAAAGAAAAAAAAAGAAAAGAAAACAGGTCTCCAAGGGTTCAAAAACTGGCCCAGGGCCATGCAGTAAGCATGAAGGGTGGAACCCTGTCCAGTCATCTCAGAGCCCACGCTCTTTCCCTTCATCTTTTTTTTTTTTTTTTTTTTTTTTTTCCCGAGTCGGAGTTTCGCTCTTGTTACCCAGGCTGGAGTGCAATGGCGCGATCTCGGCTCACCGCAACCTCCGCCTCCTGGGTTCAGGCAATTCTCCTGCCTCAGCCTCCTGAGTAGCTGGGATTACAGGCACGCGCCACCACGCCCAGCTAATTTTTTGTATTTTTAGTAGAGACGGGGTTTCACCATGCTGACCAGGATGGTCTCGATCTCTCGACCTCGTGATCCGCCCGCCTCGGCCTCCCAAAGTGCTGGGATTACAGGCTTGAGCCACCGCGCCCGGCCTTATCATCTTAACAGTATCCGGCGTGCGCAGCTGCTGCTGGCCGCGTCCGTCTTCCACGCCCTCCCACGCGGCCACCCCTCGCCCCTTTTCACGGCACAGTTCCTGCTTCTCAGCCGGGACGGATTCCAGGCGCCAGGGAGAGCCCGGCCGGGCGCGCCGCTGCTGCCCCCTCGTGGTCGCACGTCTTACGGCAGGCGGCCCGCGGCGTCTGGGTCACTCCGGCCCTCCTGGCCTCAGCCTCTTCCCCCCAGGACGGCCAGGGGGCTGCGTGGGGAGCAGAAACAAGGAGGTTCCTCAGCTCCACGCCTCCGTTTTCCCCTCTGTCTAATGGGCATACATGAAGGCTTTGAAGGGCAATTAGGAGGACTTAATGGGTGAGTAGGGGTTCAGGGGTGCTCCTGGAGAACCTCGAAATGGGGCTTAAGAGAGCTCCCGCTGCAGCGTCTGGCTCAGCGAGGGCAGCGAGAGGGACTGCGACCTGTCCCTTTCCTTGCATGGAGAAGACAAAATCCTGGTGCAGTTTGTTAACTGTGGGGCGAGGGATCGGCATCAAAAGCCCTGCATGCCCTGTCCGCGGCTCCTGAGGCCACCGCCCACGGTGATCTTTGCTCCAGTAGCCATGGGGTTGTTTGACAATTACCAACATGCAGGGAAAACCTTCGATCCTGGCCTGCAGAGGGAGGGGAGGATCCCTTTTGCCAGGCTCCCCTAAGCATTGAGCGCTCAGCCTCACTGGCTGCACCCCATGGGTCTTCTTTGCCAGCTTTGGGGAGGGTCTGTGTCCTCACTGCCCATACGCTGTAGCACGTGATATTTTATTTTATTTTATTTTTTTCAAGACGGAGTCTTACTCTGTCCTGCAGGCCGGAGTGCAGTGGTGCGATCTCAGCTCACTGCAACCTCCGCCTCCTGGATTCAAGCGATTCTTCTGCCGCAGCCTCCTGACTAGCTGGGACTACAGGCGTGCGCCACCATGCCCCGATAATATGTGTATTTTTAGTAGAGATGGGGTTTCACCATGTTGGCCAGGCTGGTGTTGAACTCCTGACCTTGTGATCCACTGTCCTCGGCCTCCCAAAGTGCTGGGATTCCAGGCGTGAGCTATCGTGCCTGGCTGGCATGTGATTTTTTAGGCTCAGTGCCAGGCCCAGCTGTCTTGCTTAGGAAGCCGAAGAAGCCCTCCCCACCCCTTTCATAGCCTAGGGGCTGCTGTTCCCGCTAAGACTCCACTGGTGAGTGGTAGGGGCCTTCACGGTCGGGTGCAGACCTAAGACCTCCCAACGCTTGCCCTCAGCCAGAGCCCTGAGACCCACACCCTCCTCTGCTACCTCCGGAAAAAGCCTCCGGCGGGTCCTGGGTACCTTTGATGACTTCCTTTCCAGTCGGTGCTGCTGGACATGTCTACACTAGGAACTCGCTGGGATGGAGCCGCGTCCTGCAGGAACGGCAGAGTGACAGCCAATATTCCCGGGGTCAGAGCCCTCCTTTGGGTCATCCCTCGGCCGGGTCTTGCCCCTGCAGCCCCTCTACCCAAAAGTCCCTATCCTCCTCCACACTCCACCGACCAGCTGCCCCTGGTCCCCGACCTGGCATCTCAAGTCCACACACACCCCTGCCTCCCCCGGAGCTCCCACCACAGCTTCAGATGGGCGCAGTGGGGAGAGCCTGGAGTGAAGCTGGAGGGAAAGGGCACGTGGAAGGACAGTGCCAGATGCAGGGGACAGCTTGGGGACTGGAGGGGTTTGGGTGGAGGCTGCTGGGGGAGGCGCGGCAGCTCAGGGGGAGGCTGGAGGTGGCTCCAGGGGACAAGGGAGGGGGCCCGCGTGCTGAAGGCTGCAGAATCTAGAAGACAGATGCAGCGGGGAATGGCCTGAGCAGAAGGTGAGGGCGGGAGGCAGCCAGTGTAGACGGTAGGGTGGAGTGCTCAGAGGACCCTGAGGAGGAGCTGAAGGGGAATGGCCAGTTTTGTTTGTTTGAGACAGAGTCTTGTCACCCAGGGTGGAGTGCGCCGGTGTGATCCCGGCTCACTACAACCTCTGCCTCCCAGGTTCAAGCGACTCTCCTGCTCAGCCTCCTGAGTAGCTGGGATTACAGGCACCCGCCACCACGCCTGGCTAATTTTTATACTTTTAGTAGAGATGGGGGCTTCACCATGTTGGCCGGATGGGTCTCGAACTCCTGACCTGAAGTGATCCACCACCTTGGCCTCCCAAAGTGCTGGGATTACAGACGTGAACCACCGCCCGGCCTTATTTATTTATTTATTTATTTATTTTTACCAGGGGAAAGTGCGAACGCAGTCCCCCCACTACCACAAATCATGCAGTCGAGTTTCCCACATTCGGGGAGATCACACAGGTCGGCGCATCCCGGGTGCAATGGATAAGCCTCGACCCAGGAAAACCACCTTCGTGATCACGGTGTCTCCCTGCCAGGTAAGTATCCGGCCTTTGTTTTTAAAAAGGGAGAATCTCCCGGCCGGGCGCGGTGGCTCAAGTCTGTAATCCCAGCACTTTGGGAGGCTGAGGCGGGTGGATCACAAGGTCAAGAGATCGAGACCATCCTGGTCAACATGGTGAAACCCCGTCTCTACTAAAAATACTAAAAATTAGCTGGGCATGGTGGCACGTGCCTGTCATCCCAGCTACGCAGGAGGCTGAGGCAGGAGAATTGCCTGAACCCGGGAGACGGAGGTTGCGGTGAGCCGAGATCGCGCCATTGCACTCCAGCCTGGGTAACAAGAGCGAAACTCCGTCTCAAAAAAAAAAAAAAAAAAAATGCTGAGGGGTGGAACTGGCCGATGAGGAGTGAGCCGGACGGCCCTGTGCAGGGCTGAGGACACGGAAGAGGACAAAGGAGAGGCTTAGCCTGGCTTCAGACCCCGCCCGGCCACTTCCTGGCTGCATGACCCTGCCCGGGGCTCCAGGCTTTAGGGGCCTCCACCTCTGTCCAGCCTGCCCAGCCCCCACGTGGCCCAGAGGAAGTGCCCTCAGCACCCAAACCCTCTCTCCAGGCTTTGCGCCAGGTACTCGGACCTCAAACTCCCTGCCCAAACTGCACAGAGGCCCTCCCACAGGCCGACCTCACCACTGGTGGGGCCGGGGGAGGTCCCTGGGCCAGGCTCCTCCGACCCCATGCTCCAGCATGGCACTTCAAGCAGTCCAGAAAGTTCTACGTGGAACCAGGTGTTCTGAGATGTATTTCCCCAGCCAGGAGGATGGGACGCCCTATTCCATCGCTTGTTGGCTGACCTATACCTTTATTTTTTTCTTTATAGCGACCGTCCATAATTTTGTTGTATTTTATTTATTTATTTATTTTATTTTTAGATGGAGTCTCACTCTGTCGCCCAGGCTGGAGTGCAATGGTGCAATCTCGGCTCACTGCAACCACCTCCCGGGTTTAAGCAACTCTCCTGCCTCAGCCTCCCTAGTAGCTGGGATTACAGATGTGCACCACCATGCCTGGCTAATTTTTTTTGTATTTTTAGTAGAGATTGGGTTTCACCATGTTGGCCAGGCTGGTCTCAAACTCCTGGCCTCAAGTGATCAGCCTGCTTTGGCCTCCAAAAATATTGGGATTACAGGTGTGAGCCATCGCACCCTGCCTGAGCCACTGCACCCAGCCTCAAAATTTTATTATCTAGGTTCAAAATCTGTTAAGGTTTTGCTACATTTGCCAGAAATGTAAATATTGAACGTACATTGGGCCGAGTGCAGTGTCTCATGCCTGTGGTCCCAGCTACTTTGGGAGGCTGAGGCAGGAGGATTGCTTGAGCCCAGGAGGTTGAGGCTGCAGTGAGCTGTGATTGTACCACTGCACTCTAGCCTGGGCAACAGAGCAAGCCCCTGTCTCTAAAAAATAAAAATAGGCCAGATGCAGTGGCTCACACCTATAATCCCAGCACTTTGAGAGGCGGAGGTGGGCAGATTATGAGGTCAGGAGTTCGAGACCAGCCTATCCAACATGGTGAAACCCTGTCCCTATTAAAAACACAGAAATTAGCCAGGCGTGGTGGCGGGTGCCTGTAATCCCAGCTACTCGGGAGGCTAAGGCAGGAGAATTGCTTGAACCTGGGAGGCAGAGCTCGTGGTGAGCCAACGTTGCGTCTCTGCACTCCAGCCTGGACGACAGAGCAAGACTCTGCCTCAAAAATAATCATAAAAATTAATAAATAAAAAGAAACATTATGTTGCCAACAGCGTGATGCTTTCCACAGAGCTCAGAAGAGATTTCCTAAGAACATTCTTCCTCAGAAACAGAATCGTTTGCCATGCCTGCAAACACTAACAATTCTAATATCATCAGAGCTACTGTTTAAGCAGGACGTGATCAGTTAGCCTCTTTTGCCTCTTTTTGTATGGAAAAATCCCTCTACTCTTTTGTAAACGGCATTGATGTGCTGAGGCATGGTTTGACTTGTGAGTGGGGCCAGGCGCAGTGGCTCATGCCAGTAAACCCAGCATTTTGGGAGGCCAAGGTGGGCAGATCACTTGAGGTCAGGAGTTCAAGACCAGCCTGGCCAACATGTTGAAATGCCATCTCGACTAGAAATTTTAAAAATTGGCTGGGCACAGTGGCTCATTCCTGTAATCCCAGCATTTTGGGAAGCCAAGGTGGGCGGATCACGAGGTCAGGAGATTAAGACCATTCTAGCTAACACAGTGAAACCCTGTCTCTACTAAAAATACAAAAAATTAGCTGGGCGTGGTGGTACATGCCTGTAGTCCCAGCTACTCAGGAGGCTAAGGCAGGAGAATAGCTTGGACCCAGGAAGCGGAGGTTGCGGTGAGCCGAGATTGCGCCACTGCACTCCAGGTGACAGAAAGAGACTGTCTCAAAAAAAAAAAAAAAAAAAAAAAAAAAAAAAAAAAAAAATTAGCAGGGCATGGTGATGCTCACCTGTAGTCCCAGCTACTCAGGAGGCTGAGGCAGGAGGATCGCTTGAACCCAGAAGGCAGAGGTTGCAGTGAGCCAAGATGGCACCACTGCACTCCAGCCCAGGCCATAGAGCAAGACTTCATTTCAAAAAAAAAAAAAAAGACTTGTAAGTGGCAGGCCCACTCCTGGGGCCTGCTCTGTGCTCCTGTCCTGGGTTCCACCCGTGCTTGCGGGGTGGGGGCCTGCGGAAGGAAACCTATCTCCACCAGCCCCAGGCGACCAACTCCCTCCCGTTTGGTCCAGACTTTGACAGTTTTATCCCGGAAAGTCCCCTCAGATCTAGGTAAACTGGGGTGGTCGGTTGTCCTAGTTAGCCCGGCATCCACTTTGAGAATCTAACGGAGGAGTGGGTGAGGTGAGAAAGAGGGAGGCTTGGGGCGTCGGCCCTCCTGTGTTCATCTCAGGCCTGGCAAGAAAGGACCTGTGTCCCCTGGGGATGGGGAGCTGGTGGCACGACACACACGTCTGGTGTTTGCTCTGATCGAAGTCGAGGCTGAGGCTGTGGCTGTCGCTGCCTGGCGGGCCATGGAGACGGACAGGTGGCCTCACTGGGGCAGGCTGCCCTTCCCAGCTGCTCAGGCAGAGGCGTGTGTTCCCGGGGACCAGATGCTTCTGAGCAATGTCCAGGGTGCCCACAACAGCCCTTGAGAGAGGACTCAGCACTGGGAATCCACAAACCTACGGGGCCCTGGAGCCCGGTCATGGGGTGCTGGGCCCCCCTGGGTGTCCTTTCCTGTTCCCTCTGTCCCTCCTTGAGGAGCGGAGACAGCTGAGCTGGGACGAGCAGGTACAGAAAGAGAGAAGAAGCTAGCCTGGCCTTTCTCCATGGTGGCTTCTTTGCTGCGACTTCCCAAAGCTGTGGCTTTAAATAAGCTTAAGTTGTTTATTTATTTATTGAGACAGGGTCTCGCTCTGTTGCCCAAGCTGGACTGCAGTGACATGATCACAGCTCACTGCAGCCTCAACCTCCTGGGCTCAAGCAATCCTCTTGCCTCAGCCTCCTGATTAGCGGCAACCACAGGCTTGCACCGCCGCACCTGGCGAATTTTTGTATTTTTTGCACAGACAGGGTCTTTCCATGTTGATCGTGAACTCCAAGGCTGGTCCTGAACTTCAAACAATCCTCCCACTTTAGAATCCTGAGTAGCTGGGACTACAGGCACACATCACCACACCTGACTAACTTTCGTATTTTTTGTAAAGACAAGGTCTTGCTGTGTTGACAAGGCTAGCCTCAAACTCTTGGGCTCAAGTGATCCTCCTGCCTTGGCCTCCCGAAGTGCTGGGATTACAGGTGAGGACCGCTGCACCTGGTTGAGAATTTTGATCATTAAACTGGAACTAGAGTTGCAGTTCCTGAACTGAGGCCACTTGAGGACTCCACTGCACAGCAGCTGCCCAGGTTTTCATCCGGGTGCAGGGAAAGGTGCTCCCCGCCTCAGCCCCGAGGAGTCCTGGATGCCCCTGAGTTCATATCACGGTGCCTGACCCTCAGTAAGTGCCAGATGCGTAAGAGCTGCTTTGCATTTCAAAACAGGTCTCTTCCAGGTCACGAACAGCCAGCCCACGCTCAGTCCAGATGACACGTTTCCAGCCTCGCCCCCCTGGCCTGGGCAGCCGCAGCCCACACGCTGGGCTCTACGCTCCACCCACTTCCTCCGCCCATGGCTGGGCACCATTCTCTCTCACTTCTCGCCAACCTCTGAACTTGAAGGTCTCCAAGCCTGAGCCCTTGAAGCTCCTTCTTCTGTTGCTTCTCTGGGATCATGGAAGAGTCCACATTGCCAGGCCAGGGCAGCCCTTTCTCTGGTCCATAGGCTCTGCCCACTCCACTCTTTTTTGGGAGGTCTAACAGAATCTCCATGGGTGCGTTCAGGCTAAGGATCCACATCCCACCCTGCTCCGTACCCAAGACTCTCCCTCCTCGGGTCTTTCCCCGTCCGTTCCCCCATCACGTGCAACCCCAATGAGCAACAGTCCCGCCTTCCTGAGGCTCAGGCCAAACACACTGATGTCATCCTGGACTCCCCCTTTTCTCAGCCTGGCTGTTGCTCTCCACACCCGCGCTGCCCTCGCAGAGACCCAGAATCCGGTCACTTCTTACCATCTCTGCTGCTGCCATTCTGGTCACCATGATTTTCAACTTAGGCCATTGGCAATGGCTCCTCCACCGGCCTCCTAGGCTTCCTCTCACCCTTCCATCAGCACTATTTCCCGCACCACAGCAGAGAGATTCTGAAAACAGAAATCAGCCAGGTGCAGTGGCTCACACCTGTAATTCCAACACTTTGGGAGGCTGAGGCGGGCGATCACTTGAGGCTGGAAGTTCTAGACCAGCCTCGCCAACATGGCGAAACCCCGTCTTGACTAAAAATACAAAAATTAGCCAGGCATGATGGCAGGTGCCTGTAATCTCAGCTACTCAGGAGGCTGAGGCATGAGAATCACTTGAACCCGGGAGGTAGAAGCTGCAGTGAGCTGAGATAGCACTGCACTCCAGCC